ACACACACACACACACACACACACACACACACACACACACACACACACCTCATCCTTCTCTGTATCCAAGCTAAATAAATAAGTAGCACAACACTGTGCCCACTATGTTTCCAGGGAGATGGCCACGACCTTTGGTCGGCTCTGTCAGCAGGTGGACCAGACACAGAAAGAGCTGGAGGAAGACATCCGTAAGCTGACAGTCAAGATTAATCAGCTGGAGACCGTCCAGAGTCGCTCAAAGAGCCTGCGGTGAGTCCGCATCCTTTGCTCATTTGGAACAACAAAAATGARTTGTCAGAATTAAAGATGATTCAATGTGAGGACATTAGTATGATGTTTTTTATCACGTCACTTGTTTTCAAGATTACTTTTGCAGCTGGATTATTATACATTTATTTTATTTCCTATAAAGTTAAAACCAACCGTCTGTAAAGCTGCTGGGGTCACTGTGTGTTTTTATTTTTGTTTTCTGCACAGGCATAAAGCCACAGATTTGGAGGAACAATTGGAGGAATTCACATATCAGTACCTGCAGCCTCAGGAGTGAAGTCACTCCTCTTCATCACTCCAGTTTGGCTCTTATGGAGTCACCCCTCTAAAACCCATCACCCTGTAGGTGATRGTCCTGAAAATTGACTTTGTGCAACAAATGAAAAGCTTTATCAGGTTTCTTTATACATTTGATGTCAGGGCTTTTCTCCACAAATCAGTACTTAAATTGTCTATTCTTTAGTTTCATTTGCAAAGAAAAGAAAAAAAGTTTTTCAAAAAACTCAGAATGCATCAAAGAAGAAACTGTTAAAAAAATAAAAAGTACAGAGCAGTGAAAAATTGTGCTCCACAAGGGGGTGATGTTTGTCAAAAGGCTGTATTTTGACACTAACTTGCTGTAACCTGAAATGTGAATAGGCCTTTTTTTAAATCCTTTTTTTCTGTGGAGTAAATGAAGTCTCTGTAAGACTGCAGCCATTTTTGCTCAGACACATGGAAAAAAACATTTATGTTGAAGAACAAATTTAATATTAAAAAGAACAGGAAACTAAACTTACTGAGAAATCCTTTGAGTAAGAACAGGAAGCACGTCTTTTAAATACTGTAATCTGAGTACTATTTTCAAACAATAAAATCTTCAGATATTTTATATTTTATTTTATTTATACGTAGAATAGGTATTACATTTTGTATTCTTGTCTCTTCCTTTGAACTTGTCCTAAAATTCTCCAAAATTTGCAAGACTGTAATAAAACACGGTAATCTAAACTTGTTTTTCTTTTCTTTTTTTTTTACGCTTTAAATGCTAAAAAAATGACTTTAAAATGGGAATGTAGCAGCTGTGGACACTAGCAACTGAGATTAACAGTAAAAATTCTAGTTTTTGATAAGTTTTACACTGTTTAATTGTCTTAAGATTTTTTTTGCAGTAATAAGTATATTATTGAAAGGTTATTACACATGAACTTTTAACTGCTTTGATGGACACTTGATATGTCGCCTCCTCAAAACTGCATTTAAAGGGATCTATGCAAAATCCATTTATTTAGCTATTAAATACATTTAATAGCTAAATGATGACAGGAACCAGCAACCAAACAAGGGTGTAAAACTAGGTTTAAAGAGGTTAAACTGGACTTTTCAATTTTTTATGCCTCAAAACATACACACAGGAAAAACATCTTGATTAAAAGCTTTCTTTATTGGTTACAATAACTCATGGCAACATATCAGTATCACCAAGCCACTGTACAAATACAAAAAAACAAAACAAAAAACAAAAAAAGGTTTGGTGTGAAAAAGACTATAAAAATTATTTTATAACAAGTGATTATAATTTCACACAATAGCACTGTAAGAGAAGTATGGCACCAAGTCCTCACTCTTTGATGGCTTAAAACAAAGCAATAAATTACAAAGAAAATCCAAAACTTAAAAAATAAAAAGGTGAACAGTAAAGTTGTGGAGTCAAAGAGCAGTGCAGTTCTGTGATGGGTGCTCGTGTGGTGCAACCTAATCAAAAAGCCCGGGAGTTGTTCACATTAAATAAGATGGTCGACCAAAATTATCGCTTCGAATACTGACTGAATGCACAGCAGAGATTAAAACACATCTACTCTTTTAGTTCTGGTAAAAAAAACTGCAGCAAACTCTCAAACTGTGGAAAACAAGGATGAATGGAAGTGAGATTCAAGCTCTGGCACTGAGATCACATGAGGACAGTTCTAAAGCAAACAGAATAACCTGAAAAAAATAAAATAAACATTTGACGATACAACAGTAATGTAAAAGTCCAATGAAGTCAAGCACCGTTCTTGATTTGTACGTTTACTGTTTCACTTTGCACGAGTGAACTGCACAGGCACGTGTTTCTATTCCAGCTGCTAATACTGCTGAATTATACAGAGACAAATTGTTTGCCTGCTGAATATCACTGTCGAATGTGGAGAATCCCTCCCTCCCTCCCCGCTGCTTCAGCTCTTAAGGGCCACRGTGGTTTGTAATTTGCTTCACGCAGATCCTTATGAAATATGGAAGCAACAATTAACATTTGGGGAAGCGCAGAATTTTCTGAGAAGACGACTTAACATCCAAAACAACACAAGGTKACTTCTGATTGATGGTGTTGCGCCAAGTTCTGCTACTGAAAGGTGGGGCTGTTGCATTGCCTAGATTCAAGTCATTTTTTTAAGAACCAAAGGAAAAGAGAAATACTTGCAAACAGTCACGTCTGACATATTTTTGCCRACACAGCAGAATTGTAATTAGATTCATTGTAGTCTGAAAGAAGCACATGTCTAACATCAAAYACCACAAGCCAAACATGATGCAGCACGAACGGACCATTTTGGAGTTACGAGWATAAGCTGAGCCTAACTCTKCTGGGTCACAGGTMAAATGGTAAAAACACTGAGRTTACTATGAAAACACCTACGTAACGTAGATATTTATGGAAAATCTCATCTATGGTCCTTAAGGAAAGTTTAACACGAATCAGTTCAGATCAAATACATGGGGTCTGTATAACGGTGTAAATTTACTGGCTTTAACAGATTTCTTTTGCTACGTAGCCAAACACTTCTGAGTATTTAGCCTCTAGAGAAGCTAAATGTAATTCTGTGGRTAAGATTATACATTTTGACAAACTTGTTTATCGTCTTGAGAGAGTAGAGCAAACAAGGCTGCTTCTATTCAGGGTGTTTTGTGCACATTCCACATGTACACTGTATATCTTAACCTCTGACCATAACCCCAAAGTTGAAGCCTGAGGTTTCAGTATAAGTTTAAATTGTGCAAGCTCYACAAAAATAAATGGATTTTCTTCTAGTCTTCCTAAAATCAGAGAGGAATCATTCACTACTGAGCATCTAATTAGATAGAATGACAAAGATGTTCTAAAATATTAAAAGGTGGACAAACTGGAAATTGAACAAAGCCAACTGGGCTTTTGGTGTGAARCCATTTCCCCAATCGCACAAGAAAATACAACTGAATTAACTTCTTCAATGGAAAGACAAAAATGGTTAATTGGACGTACAACATATTCATAAACAGTCAAAGCTTTGCAACAGCTCCACCTAAACTTTACAACGGCCAYAGTATACAGATGATCTTTTTGACCTAAACTCAGTGCTTGGAGACGTCAGAAAACAAACACTTCCCTTAATGATGCTTTGTTTCTTTAGATCCACGCTGTCAGGACACCATTTTATCATCTGGATTTGACACATGAAACATCTGATGTCCACAGACTGAAATAGAAACTTGAGTCTTATGAGCACTGTGAGCGTAATGACACTTTGGGATTACAAAAAGTCATTGTCAGACGTAAGCAGCCGACCTGTGTGATCAGGCAACAGATTGGGTTTAAAAAGAGACACTGATGTGACCATTTGATGGCAAAGATTGGCACTTGAGTAAAGTAAGCAAATGTTTGTTTTTTTTCCTCTTTTTTTTCTTTAGTTGTTATAAAGGACTAGTTTTCGGTTCACAGCTCAGGGTCTGTGGATAGCATTGGCACAAATTAGGAAGTAACACATACTATACGTTATCCACATACATCACCAAAAATCCTCCCATCTTCCCCCCGCCCTGCCCTCCCACCAATATGCGAAACATATCGTATCCTACAACACCTCAGACATCTTCAGTCTAAAAACTACAACCGTTTTCAAACATTCTCTCAGTACTGATTTGTTAATGCGAAGCAAAAATGGAAGCAGGTAAAATATAGATATATAGTTTTTTTTTTTAAAGTTCACTAGAATCACGGTATACCAAAGAGGAGTTTTCATTGACAACCAACTAAACTTTTAGAAGAACTACAAACGTTACGGTAGAAGTAGAAAGGAGGTTTCTGTATCAAAACGTGACACTTTAAGGAGCAGTGCGAAGCTGCATGTGGCTGCAGTGATTTCCTAGAAGCATGTGTCTTAGTGTTTACTATCAGGATGTGCCTCTATTGGAACAAAAAATTTTCAATGATTATTTGCAAAAATGAATTTGCAAAAGTAAAACGTTTCTGATGTTTCGATTACCTACGATATGAATGGCATTCTAAGGCAAAATCAGAGACAACAGTGCCACATCTCTCCCTCATCCAGCCATCGAGGCTGGAAAGATAGGCACCTAAGACAGCTGCTGATTAGGTCCACCTCTCACACGTGTTGSGTGCGGTTCGTTTTACAGAAGCTTTCCGAGAAGCCCAAAACAATGCAAGATGAATGATGAAGAAATTCAACCTGGCAATAATAATATTTCTATAGGTAAACAAGTCACAACGGTTTCAACTACGGTTTGTGAGTGCGTTTCTAGCTCTCTACTAGGTGTACATTTCCATCTACAGAGTGTACTTTCTCCACAAGTTCTATTAAAAGTTCATCATGTGTGTTTTTTTTTTTTTTATGGGTGACAAACAAGAAAGTGTTAAATCTTCAAAACTTCTTGTTGGTTTTCTTCTTTTTCTAACAGGCTTGTGGTGGCACTGGTGTGACTTTGAAGTGGCTAACATTTCAGTTCTGTGCAGTCACTCGATTCACATCCTTGTCAATGACCAAAAATAAAATAAAATAAAATAAAATAAAAACCGTCTCGACTCTTCAATCATGAGGGAGAAAACAAAACACGAGCTTAATGACACAGTGAGCTCTGGCATCTTATTTTCCCAGTCCTCAGATGCTGTTGACAGAGTCCTTTATGGTCCTGACATGAAGCTCCTTTAAAAATCCTCTCATGCTGTCCAACTTTTGTCCTTACGGGCCTCCGGTGTCCCAGGACCAGAGGAAGAGACAGACCTCTGCTTGTGTTTGCGTGACCCTTCCCTAGACTGTTACRTCGTACAGCAACATCAGGCCTTCGTCTCCTTTTTAAGGAATAATGCGTCGTCCGCAGGCTATATGAGGTGGGGATGTAACCACCTCTGTTCACCAGGTCATATCATAGCACACTGCAGACGATTTGAATGGAATGGATGCGGTCTTGAAAATTTCAGCATTTGACGATTTAACAACACAGTCCACATATCGTAGCCCCAATTTCTTCAGTTTCTRTTTTGGAGTTAAAGCTTGATCCAGAAAAAAAAAAAAGACACCAGTTAGGTTTGATTCTCTTATTCAAACCATGGCAGTCTAGCAGTTTCCTTGCAAAACAAATGGGGTGAAGAAAACTAGGGGTCATATTGTTTAAAAAACAAAACAAAAAACTAAGCTAAGATTTCTGAAATGTCGGAGTTAAAAAAGAAGCACAAAATGCCTGAATTTCTGCTCACTGTCTCATCATAACACACTCACACAAATGATAAAAGTAAGTTTAGTCAGGCTGATTTAAATTACTAATTTATATGCTTAACTCTCTTTTGAATTTGACAGAAGACTTAATTAGCAAGTAAGAAAAAAATGACTTCTAGGTGACTATCTCTAATAGGATAAAATAAATATTTTTGGCATTAAGTAGTAATGTGAGTATGTCTGTAACAAAACAACAAATGATTAAAAGAAAAAAAACAGGTGGTAAATAAACTACAAAAATATATACATACACATTATATATGCATATATGATGCATATATACACACATAATGCTATACATATATACTGTCTTTACATATACATTTACATATTACACACTGATGCTAATCTTGCTTGTTATTTATGGCAGCAGATGCACTTTAATGCCCCTAGAAAAAAAATCAGGTGAAGCCGGAAATCCTCTTAGTTTTCTTTAGTTTTTCCAGTATTTTTAAATGCTTTCTTTAGTTTTTACTGGACAAATCTACAAAAGGAAAAAGAAGAAAAAGGTTTTYGTTGCTGTGTAATGGCTAGGTGGGGGGGAAGAAAAACAAAACAAAAAAACAAACCCTTTAGTTAGAACGAGTTTTCAGCTGAGAGGAGTGGGGAACAAATAAAAAGGTTTCAGCTGATACAATGTGCACCCCTCAGGTCCAGCCCGGCAAATGGTTTTGGATCTGTAGAGAGGGGGCTGCGGGACAGAGGTGGTGGGCAGTGACTGAGTACATCAGGCGAATGTGTTAGTTCCAAATCCGAAGGAAACTGTCCCAGGAGCCGGTAGCCACGGCCATGCCGTCGTTCGTCACTCCTAAGCAGCTCACTCTGTTGTCGTGGCCTGCAAGCACCCCTGGAGGAGAGAGGAGATAAACCGGAGCCACAGGCTGGTCACAAAAATGCCCACGTAAAGGTCAAAGTCAAGAGTCAATCAGTGCTCTGCTTTGAATCAGTTCCCAAATCAAGAATTCCCTTTTAAACACCAAGCAGTAGGGGTGTAAGAAAATACTGACTGACAATATTTCATTTCCCAGTACTGCATTGATTCTCTAAAGCCCTGTATTGATTTTTAATTAAGGTTTAAAATGTAAACTTTCATGCCAAAAGTTCATTTTTTGTGTTGCAGTTTAGCCTCCGACCACTAGTTGGCAGCAGTCAGCCAGCCGTTTGGTTCCTTTACTTCTGAGGAGCCAGARTAACAGTAGCTCAAGCATTAGAACTGTGAGTAAACTCTAGCACAAATACAGATAGTTTAATCTGAGTGGATTAGACTGATGCCCCCTGCATTTTAAGCTAAGCTAAGGGCCGAGACTGAGTCGAGTTGAACCGCATACACGAGAGTCCGTGGAGATTGTGTGCCGAGGCTTTCTCTGATAACAGTGAACACCAGAGGGCACAATTAACAGCTTTCTTTGAGGCACYGAAATAAAACACCGAAGTTAAAGATGTGTTTCGGTCTGTGTGCAACCGTGGATGTTCGCCCCGGTGCCATAATAGAACCGAGTTTCGGTACGCAACCCTAGTCATATGTATCATATGACCAAATTCTTGCCAATTCACAGCCCTCGTAAAAACAGGCTCTTCTATTTTATTTTGGAAACTTTAATCAGACATCACAGTTACATACCCGCTCGCTCTCCTTTAAGAGTATCCCAYACGTTGCAGTTGAAGTCGTCGTATCCGGCCAACAGCAGGCGCCCGCTCTTGGAGAAGGCCACAGAGGTGATGCCGCAGATAATGTTGTCGTGGCTGTACACCATCAGCTCCTGGTCGGCACGCAGGTCAAACAGCCTGCAGGTGGCGTCATCTGAGCCCGTGCCAAATGCGTTCCCATTGGGGAAAAACTGAAAAAAAAGGGGGGGGGGCAGTGATTTAAATAAACAGGAAGAGTCTTTAAAACGTTTCTTTCCTTGCTGCAGACCGTTTCAGCACTCACACAGACGGCGTTGATGTCAGACACGTGGCCGGTGAACGACTGCCGGCACATGCCGTCGCGGATATCCCACAGCTTGGAGGTGGCGTCACAAGCTCCTGACACGAAAGTCTTATAGTCTGGACTAAGAGACAAGCTCATCACATCGCCTGTGTGGCCGGTGAAGGCAGTTGCCTGCTGGCCTGTCTCTATGTCCCACAATGCACTGCGGGAGAAAAGCAAAGTAGGGAAAATGATTTTGTAAGTTCTATGAGTGTTCCCAAGATCCCATGATTCATTGCGCCATCCGCAAATTAAAACAGAAAAATGAAGACTGATTTTTTTTTTAATGGTGGAGTTTGGAAATTTATCACAGACTGAAAAAAAAAAAAGTTTAAATGTATGTTTAGCAA